TCCCTTTCCTCCCTGCTTGTGCTCTCTCTCCCTATCTCTGTCTTTCTCCCAAATAAACAAATAAAAAATCTTTTAGAAAAAAAAGATGTGGTTCATATATACAATGGAATATTACTCAGCCATCAGAAAGGATGAATACCCACTATTTGCATTGACATGGATGGAACTGGAGGGGATTACGCTAAGTGAAATAGGTCAATCAGAGAAAGACAATTATATGGTTTCATTCATATGTGGATGGAGGACATTAGGGGAAGGAAGGGAAAACCAGAGGGGGAGACGAACCATGAGAGACTTGGACTCTGGGAAACAATCTGAGGGTTTCAGAGGGGAGGGGGTGGGAGGATAGGGTAAGCCTGGTGATGGGTACTAAGGAGGGCATGTGTTGTAATGAGCACTGGGTGTTATATGCAAATAAGGAACCATAGAACACTACATCAAAAATTAATGATGTACTGTATGCTGGCTAACTGAACATAATAAAAAAATACCTAAAGTCAGTTGTGATTGGGGCGGTGGGAGGAGAGGCCAGGGTGAAATGTGTTCAGTAAAATACAGGGTGTCTTTCAACAAATGTACATTGAGTAGCTATTATGTCTAGGCACTAAGCTGGATTCTGAGCATACAATCAAGAAATGGTCCTTACTCTCAAGGAGGTTATTGTCTAGTGGAATGTTATGACACATAAGGAGTCTATTTCAATATAGTTTATTAAGAGGTAAGATTAGAGAGAGCAACCAAGGTGGGCTCAGTTCTCATGGGTGGCAATGTAGCATGGTGGTGAAGAGCTCAGAGTCTGCACCCAGCTGTTTGGGTCTGAATCCTGCTTCTACCGCTTATTGCTCTCTGACCTTGGAAAAGCTATTAAGATCCCTGTGCCTCAGTTTTCTCATTGGTAAAAGGAGAATACTAACTAATCTCAGAGAATTTCGCAAGAGCTACATGGGCCAATGCATGCAAAGCATTTAGCACAATGTCCGGAACACAGAATAAACACTCAAAAGTGTGATGTATTATTATTATTTTTTAAAGATTTATTTACTTGAGAGAGAGAGCAGGAGGAGGAGCAGAGGCAGAGGGACAAGCAGACTCTGTGCTGAGCTCAGAGCATGACATGGGGCCCCATCCTAGGACCCTGAGATCATGACCTGAGCTGAAATCAAGAGTTGGTCGCTTAACTGACAGAGCACCCAGGCATCCCAAAACTATTATTATTATTACATAGTGCTGTGGAGCCTATACAATGTGGAGCCCATGAGGTGTGGAGTCAGGAGAGGCTTCCTAGAGGCAGTGACATCTCAGAGGAGATCTGAAGGATGATAGGAATTAGCAGGTCAAGGGGCAAGGTATTGGGAGTGAGGGAGAGGCAGAAAGAACAACCAGATTCTTTAAAACACTGCTTTCTCAAACTTTCATGTGCAGAAAAGTCTTCTAGGAATCTTGTTTAAGTGCAGACTCTGATTCAGTTGCTCTGGAGTGAAACATTTCTAACAAAGTTCCCAGGGAATGCTAATGATGCTGGTCCCTGTTCTATGCTTCCACTCGGTAGCAAGGTTCTAACTGGGTGAAAAATCTTAAAAGGAAACTGTAAGCTATTTAGGGAGAGCTGGTGTGCAAACTGCTGGAAATGGGGGTTGGGAGCTGTGGTGCCAGGTAGAGAGAGAGAGCTCAGGAGAGATACCTGTATTACTGATCACCGCCTAAGGGGCTAGATCACAAAGGGACTTACAAGAAAAGAAAAACGAAATTTAGAACAGTATAAAGGGCTTTAGCTGCCAAATGGAAAAAAGAGTCTGGAGGGAAACTCCACTGGAAGAAATGAGACCAACTGAGAGGCTTTCCCCCTTAAGTACCGTGAGAGATGGTGGTGGCCTGAACTATGGCAATGGCCTTGGGGTTGGGGAAGAGTGGGGGATTCAAGAACTATCAGAAGATCAGATCAACAACTTGGTGATTGATTTGATTGGAGGGTAAAGGGATGGAGAACACAAGGAAGACAGGCATGAGGTTATTAAGTTCGATGCAGCCACTAACAGTCAAGCCCATGGAGAACAACTGCTCACCAGTGGCACATATGGGCAATGTGTTCTCCATCTTAGATGCTCTTGCTACTTTTGGCAATTGTTGACCTGCTGTCTTCAAACTACCTTAAACTCTCAATTTCTACTAACTACTAGTAGAGAAACACAGAGCCAGGGAAGTAAATCTGTACTTCAAAATTTAGCACTTACTCTCTTATTTTTTGTTCATTAGTTGTGTAGGGTGTGTTGGCCTTCCCAAAGTAGCTGTTACTTTTTGAGGGCAAGGGCTGTGTCAGATCTATTGTTTCTCTTCTCCAGAGTGCTGATGACCAAGTAGGCACTTAATACATGCTAGGTGACTATTTGATAGAATAAGATGATTACACATTAATACCATTTATTATCTCATAAAATGATTAAAATAATAATGCCTGTAAGGTGTTGAGTGTTTTACTTGCATTATAAATGCCATCATTGGGACACCTGGGTAGCTCAGTCGGTTGGGTGGGCAGCTCGTGATTTTGGCTCAGGTCATGATCTCAGGGGTCCTGGGATCGAGCCTTGGGCCTCACGATGGGCCCCACGCTCAGTGGGGAGTCTACTTGAGGATTCTCTCTCTTCCCCTCCCTCCCGTTTGCGCTCTCTAAAATAAATAAATACATCTTTATAAAGAAATAAATGCCATCATCTTCTTTTATTTATCTGAATCATCTGAGACCCTTGCATCTAGGCAGTTTGGGTAATAAACTTGTTTGACTTGGGCTGCCTGGGTGGCTCAGTTGGTTAAACAACTGCCTTCGGCTCAGATCATGATCCTGGAGTCTCCGGATCCAGTCCCACATCGGGCTCCCTGCTCGGCCGGGCGTCTGCTTCTCCCTCTGACCCTCCACGCTCTCATGCTCTCTCTCTCTCTAATAAATAAATAAAAATCTTAAAAACAAAACTTGTTTGACTACAGCCTCATTGAATTAATGTTAATAGAATGGAAGCCTACCCTATTACTGTCGATCTCTACTGCCATCTATTGTTCATGTACTTACTAAGTTCACATAATCGGCATCCCCTCTATTCTTTGCTATTGTATATTTGTTTTCTGCGGATCTCAGGGGCTTTCTTTGCTTTGAGCTTAAACCCAAAGTAGATGCAATTTTCTAAGAGTTTCCAGTGTTTCCTTATAGCAATCCAGCATGATACTGACAATTTTCTCTTGTGGGCAAAATGTTTACACCTTTATGGAATATTAAACACTTTTAAATGTAATGACACAATGGTTTTTTCATAGGCTTTTTTGTTTTTTGTTTTCAGTTAAACTAAAAGAAAAGGTCATGGAATTTTTGGAGAATTTTTCCCTACCTCTAGTAGACATCATTAAATTAAGACAAGACATATTGGCTACATTCCATTCAGGGTGTAAATCTTACTCATCCTTCAAGGTCATTGTTTCAAATGATACCTTCTCAAAAAAAAAAAATGATACCTTCTCCATAAAACTTTCCCTGATTGTTTATTCTGGAAGCAAATTCTTAATTGGTAATTGTTATAATGAGCCACAAAGTGGAAGGACAACAAAAATCCCAATTAAAAAAATAGCTTTATAAACCAATTCCCTCATTCTCCCTTTTCTGTTGGTTCCTTTTTTCTTTTGCAGACAAATAAAGCTGGCCTCTCAGCTGTAACAATTTTATAAAGTGTTTTTGTTTTAATAAGATTTTAGGAAGGGCAAGGGCACATGCAAGGACACTGTTGGTGGTTGATCTGGTGAGATTTTAGGCAATTAACTTTGTCTTTGATTGCTGTGCGACTTTAGCCTACTAGCTGTCCTTAGTACAAGATGGTGGGGATTTCAAAGGTTAATGGACTGACAGCAGACCAGGACTCAAACCCTTGCATATTTCCCCTCTAATTCTCTATTTTATAATGAAAATAGTTTGGGGGAGGGCCTAAACAAAGAGAACTTATTTAAGTAAATTTCCGGCATAATTTAGGTATCTGGGAGTAGTTCGGTGGCACTGTATCTAACGGGGAGGCTGTGTGGTGGTGTCAAAGCCCCAGTACCTTGATTTCATAGATCTAGACCGAAGTCCAGTCTCTGCTACAGATTAACTGTTTTAGCAAGTCACTTGAGTTTCCTCACTGGATAGGATTAATCTTTTCCTCTTCTGTGCATTGTATGTTATTTCTACCAAGGTCGCTCTCATAGGTGTTTGCATGCTTTTCCTTTTCCTTGCTCAAGGTCACAGAACCTTGGCCCGGCGCTCTCTGGGAGTCTGCCGCGCCCGGCACTGGGTTTCTCCCTTACACCTGGAGGATTCTCTACCGTCACAATCACTCATTCGATCCCACACTTGTCATCTCACGGCGAATGGACGAAAATCATCACAATTAACGACAGCCCCACGCTATGAAGAGCGCTTGGAGGAGGGATTACTACTCAAGTGCAGGGAGGCAGACAAGGACCTCTTCTCGTCGTTCCATCTTCCCCGGCCTTTTCTGATATGGAATATCTAGAGGGCTGGGAGGTACCGCGGTAGACATGAACGTAAAGAGCTTTTTCCTGGTAGGAACACAAATCTTGGAGGTCTGTGTTTCCGGAAGCACCCTGTTGGGGAGGGGACTGACTTCCGGCTCTGACTTCCCTGTCTTCCGAGTTTCGAGCTCCACCGCTTCCGCCCGGAGTTACCCTAGGCTCCGGCTCCCAGCAGCTACTTCCGCCAGGAGTCCCTAGCAGCTCGGTGTTGGAAACTCGCTCCAAAGCGGCCTCCTCTTTCTCCCTTCAGCCTGCCCCGCAGAGGCCGGGTCCCCAGGTGGCGGCGGCGGCTGCTGGGCCTGTCGCGGAGCGTTCTCTTCGCCCGAGACCTGGGCCTGCGGGCACCAGGAGTGCGAGAGGGACGCCCGGGCCTGGCCCAGCCCCAGCCCTCGTCTTCCCGCGGCCAGTGACGGTGACCGCAGGCCTCGCCGCGCCCACCCGAGCCTGGGGCGGGGCCCGGCCTCCCCGCCCCGTCCCCGCCCCTCGGGCCTGCCCCGAGCCGGGTCATTCTCCTCCCCAGCCCTGCGGCGGTGTGACCACCTCGGACCTCCGGGCCTCGGCAGTCCCGTGGCCCCGGCCGCGGGGGAACATGGAGTTTGCGGAGCTGATTAAGACCCCACGGGTGGACAATGTGGTGCTGCACCGGCCTTTCTATCCCGCCGTCGAAGGGACCTTGTGTCTGACTGGTCACCACCTGATCCTGTCCTCCCGGCAGGACAACACGGAGGAGCTGTGGCTCCTCCATTCAAACATCGACGCCATCGACAAGCGGTGAGTGCCTCTTCCACGCCCTTTACGTAGGGAGCCTGGTGGATGTCTGCGGCCACGCGTCCCAGTGTTTTCCTTGCGCCCCATCGCCTAACCCGCCAGCAAAATGAGCCTTCTCCGGCCTAGATTGAGGATATGAATTTTAGAAAGCAGAAAACCATCCCAGTGAGATGCCTGATTTCCATTACATCTGAATGGAATTCCCAGGGTTATCATATGGTTGTTATCAGCTTGATGATCACTTTTGGTACATAACATCATTTGGGTGGATTTTTAACCTTTTTTAAAAAACATTTCTTCTTGCAGCATCATACTCCTTGGATTATTAACTGTCCGCCACAGTTCCATGAAGTGGTTGAATGTGATTTAGGTAAAGTCTTTACTTGCCTCTTTTGAGGACAACTCAAAGAACTTAGTATGTAGTGTCTAAATTCCACAAAACTTTTTTTTCTTTCCTTCAAAAATGGTTAGTTTATCATATTTCTCACCTTCCTTGTCATCAATTGAATACTTCCTACTATGGGAGATTATAATATCTTTTATTTATCCTAAGTTCTGCTTTTGGGAAAAAAAAAAAACAAAACGGAATTGGCTCTTAAGTAAAGGTATTAATTAGTTAACCTCTTTTTTTTTTTGCACCCCAGACTCTGTCTTTCCAATGGGGTAGTGTTTCAGAGTCAGAAAGTTATACTTCTGTCTGTAGTCAAAATTCTTATTTTCCCAATGGCTCTGTGTACTTAACTCTAGCTGGGAGAAGGTGAATTGATTATCCAGTTTACACTAAAGTATAAATGAATGACAACAGCTTTTTTAATTATCTCTCAGGAGAATTTGGATATTAAGTAGATTCCTAGAGAGGTTATGCCTTAAAAGATGGTAATTTCCAGTGATAGAATTGAAAACGGTAGGGATGAATTGTTGACAGATACATTTATTTTTTCACGCAGAGGACTCCTACTAGACTCCTCAGATCACCTTCTCCCGTGTAAAAGTTTTCAATGGTCTCTCCTGGCCTGCAGAATATAAACCTTCTACTCTGTCATTTGTGGTAGTCCATGTCTGGCCCTAACTTACTTTTCCCACCTCATGACCCCTTTTTTTTTTTTTTTAAGATTTTATTTTATTTATTTTAAAGAGAGCACAAGTGGGGTGGGGGGGCAAAGGGAGAGGCAGTCTCCCTGCTGAGCGAGGACCCTGATGCTGGGCTCCTTCCCAGGACCCTGGGATCATGACCTGAGCCCAAGGCAGCTGCTTAACTGACTGAGCCCCCCAGGCGCCCCTCATGAACCCTTTCTATTAGCCAGTCCTCACTCTTTTATTTTTGCTCACTGTGTCCTGCATTCTCATGTCTGTATCTTACTGCTGCTCCTCCTTCTGCCTGGAATGCCTTGTTCCTCCCAAGTTTGTTAAAGATTTATTTAATGTCTTTATGTTCTCGGCATTTTGTGAGGCATGAAGAACACCAAGATGAATAAAGTATAGTTCTTATCTTTCAGGAATTCATAGTCTATCATCCAATCAGTACTCATTTAATCAATATGTAGTATAACCCTTTTAACTGCCCCCTCTTTTTTAGTTTCTTCTGTTAATTTCCGCAACTAGAAGTAATTCTCCTCACCTTGAAATCTTTTAACTCTTTAATTATGCCTCTTTAATAAGTATGTATTAAAATTTGTATTTTGATATTTACACATATGTTAGATCCTTGAAGCCAGGACTTATATTTGGTTAATTTTTCTCTCTTTCAAAACTCCTAACTTGGGCAGATAGGCACACAGGGAGTATGATCGGTGATGCCACAGAATACAAATTAGAATTTCTCCTTACCACCAGCTCCCTTTTCTTTTTTTCTTATTTTATGGTTGCTTCTCAGGCTTTCATTTCATATTTACCCAGCATCTACTACATGCTAGGCCTGGTAGAGCTTAAAAAATATATGTAAGACATGACCTTTTAATCTGTTAGGGGAGAAATGACAAACTGTATATACATTTATCTTTTTCCCAGAAGCAGCCTTTTGTGATGGAAAGAGCATGAGCTAGGCGGTCAGATTAGAGTTTAATTATTGCTCTCAAGAAATACTTCCATGTGTCTTCTGTGTGCTGGGCACCATCTGGGCTCTGCAGGTACAGTGGTGACTAAGAGGGTTGAAGAGCTTGTGTGGTAGTAGAGGAGATAGACATTCAAATAAATCGGAAAATAAGTAAATAACAGTGTCAGGTAATAAGTGCCAGGAGGGAAAATAGAGGAAGATGGGAGGATAGAGAATGCCAGGAGGCAGTGTTCTTTGAAGGAATTTCAGAAAAGACAACTGACATTTAAATGAATGACATCGCCTGGGTGGCTGAGTCGGTTAAGTGTCTGCCTTCTGCTCAGGTCATGATCCCAGAGTCCTGGGATAGGGCCCCTGCTTGGCGGGGAGCCTGCTTCGCCCTCTGCCTGCCTCTCCCCCTGCTTGTGCTCTCTCTTGTTCACTGTCTGTCAAATAAATAAACACTTTAAAAATAAATGAATGAATGACATCTGATGGAAGAGAGGAATCTAGCAATGTGACTATCAGAAGAAAGAGCATTCCAGCCAGAGGGAACAGCCAATGCAAAGACAGGAACTGGCCTGGCATGTAGTGGGAAGAACAAAGAGGCCAGTGTGGCTGGAGGGCAGTGAGCAAGGGTAGAGGCTAGGGGTGTAGCAGAAACTGGTCCGAGAGCTAAGCAGGGGGCAGGTGGTGTAGGGCTTTATTTACCATTGTGATGGTTTTCAAAGGAAGCCCTTTGGAGAGTTGAAAGCAAGGAAGTAAGAGCCGATAGACTTTAAGAAGCTGGTTCTGGCCACTGGCAGAAGACAGATTGCCGAGGGGCACCAGTGGGAACAGCAGGCCCTGTTAAGAGACTGTTGAGCAGTTCAGGGAGAGGGCGACAGTGACTTAAGAGTGGAAATGGTAGAAGTCAGCTCAGAAGCAGTCAGGTTTGGGATGTATTTTGAAGGCTGAGCTGCCATGCTTTGTTAATGAATCGTAAGTGAGATGTGAGAGGAAGCACAGTATTGAGGATGACTCCTTTAGTGCTACCTCTTCCTGCACAGGTGTCCTTGGGCAAGCCACTTAACCTCTCTAAACGTCTCAGTTCTATCATGTAGAGGACAACAGCCCTTCTCATATCTAGTCGTAACTTATATTTGAGTGATGCTTTAGAAGCTCATCGAATGCTGTTATGTGCACTGCATATACAGTTTTATTAGATCTTTCCGCACACAAGGTTTTACATAAGTTTTACAATTATATATTTTTCTTTTCATGGACCCCAGATGTAGAAAGTTGAGTTGATTCTACTCAGTTGAGAACTGGTCATTTTCATGATTGATTCATTGCAAGGTTTTCTTGGTTTTTTACATTTTATTCTTCTTCAAGCCCTAATTTTCACCCCTATTTACCACCTCATCCTCAATCCCTGCAGGCAGGTATGTTAAGTGTTGCTATTTGTCCTTTGATATATGTATATCCCTATAAAATATACAGTACCATCATGTGTGAATTTAATTTCCCCTGGTAGGATTATGTTGCAGATCTTATTCTGTTTCTCAACATAGTAACTCAGTACTCTTCATACTGCTGTGTGTACATCCATTTCACTGCTTCTGACTGCAGCATAGAATTCCAAATTGTCTACAACATTTTTCTTACCTGACCCTCTAGATAGCTTCCAACTCCCTGCTATCACAACATACTGAAAAACACACTTGTTTGGGTCCACTTATCTTATACAAGAATTTCTCTGAGATTGTGTCCAGGGTGGGATGGAGGCAGAAAGCAGATAGATAAAATTAATTCACTTCACCAAGTAATGCTAAGAACTCTCCAAAATGATTAGTCCCTTTGCCCTTCCCACCATGGTCCCTATTTCCACCACGTTATTACCAACGTTTGTTATTTTTTTTAAGTTTTGCTAGTCTGATGACTATGAATAGTATCTCTTTATTTTAATTTGTATTTCTCTGATTACTGATGAGTCTGAGTATCTCTGTATAGACTTATTAGCAATTCAATTAATTTTTTTTCCTTTCTATGAATTTCTTGACCCACTTTTAAAAATTGGGTTTTGTTGTCTTTCTAGCATTGATTTGCACCAGTTTCTTGTATACTCTCTAGGTTTTAATTCTTTACTTAGACATTGCAGATGTCTTCTCTTAGTCTCTCACCCATTTGTTGACTTTTCTGTGGTGGTCTTTGTTGAACAGAAGGCCTTAATTTTAATTCAGAATTCATCAGTTTTTTACTTTATTGTTTGTGCCTTTTTTACTTTATTGTTTGTCCTTCCTTATCCCAAGATCATTAGGATGAATTCTACATTTTCTTCCATATTAGCTTTATAGTTTTACCCTTCACTTTTAGGTCTTTAATTCATTTGGATTCTACCTTTGTTTCAGGTGTTTTTCTCCAGGTAGCAAGCCAGTTTTCCCAATACCATTATTTAGTAACCCATTCTTGACTGATCCATCATATATCAATTGGTTTCGTATATGTATAGCTTTCTCTCTGTCCCATAGGTTTTGTAATGTGTTTCCATTTGTCTCAGTTTTCTAATTTACCATGTGATTTCTTCTTTGATCACTTGGTTGTTTAAAAGTGCATTGTTAATTTCCATAATTTTGTGAATTTTTCAGTTTTCCTTTTGTTGTAGATTTCTAACTTCATCCCATTGGGTTCAGAGAAGATACTTTGTAAGATAGCTGTCTTTTTAAATCTACTTTTTAAATCTACTGAGACTTTGATTGTGGCCTAACATACAGTCTGTCCTGGAGCACTTGAGAAGAATGTATATTCTGTTGTTGGGTTGCTAGTGTGTATGTCTGGTATATCTAGTTAGTTTATTGTGTTAAGTGTTTCCTTAATTATCTTCAGTCTGATTGTTCTAGCCATTATCATGAATGGGGTATTAAAATCTCCAACTGTTATTGTAGAACTATTTTTTCCTTCAGTTCTGTCAGTTTTTGCTTCATATTTTGAT